TCCAATTTACTGGTCTCCCGAAGGTTCACTCGTCAAAGTGTTGTCCATCAAAACAAGCAGGTCAACTCGTAGCAAACGGAGTCGCACCAGCTCCACTTCGCTGCGCCGGCATAAGCTCGCTTCACAGTATTGCCTTTACAACAAAGCAGAAGGGTGGGCTGAGATCGCAAATATCGGCAACCAATTCTACGACGCGAACTTCAACAAATAAAAAGTCTTTATGGACCGCGAAGGGGATCTGCTAAGACAACTGACGTCGCCGGTGTGTATGCGCAAACGGCACTAAAGTTGTCTAGAGCACTATCAGCGCCGGAGGTTGTGCTCTCGCGCATCCACGCCACGCCGCGCCACGCCACGCCACGCCACGCCGCTCCTCGTCCATCCCGCCTTCCCGCCGTCAATGTCAGGGCCAAGCGCATATCTGCTCGCCCAGCTGCAGGTCACGTCCACATCGGGGATCCAGACACAAAAATTTAGGTTACTCAAGATGCAAACTGCTCTCTGTTTGATCTCGTCTTACTATATTTTACGGTGCCCCTGCTCTATGTCTTCTTTACTGGAATCGTGTGAGAATGTGAATGATTACTCAAGGGAGTTCAGTTCAGGTGCAAATTTCTCGTTGGAATTTACACACTTTGCACCTCCATGCGTTCAAATGGCGTTCACACACCTAAAGGTGTGCGACATTCACATGCGTTCAAATGGCGTTAGGTGTGCGACATTCACATACTTGGGTTTCCATTGTTGTTGTACTCGTCACTGCTACACTTAAAAAGCTGCGTTCACGCTTCTGCGAGAAAGAGACGGCGATAGCGATAGTGAGAAGTGAAAACGAAATATAGTGCACGTGATTAGCTTACTTCACTCGCTTGGTATCGCGCCGACATTGCGGAAAGACATCGGACACCGCCCGCCGCCCACACTCTGTCTAATCGGGTACTAAAAGTTGCCATCATCCTGATAACTGTTTCTCTGTGACAATACACACACGAGAAGTGTGAGACGGCTACAATCAACAGAGGTGCGCGTTACGGGAAAGGGCAGACAGACAGACATACAGACAGACAGACAGACAGACAGACAGACAGACAGACAGACAGACAGACAGACAGACAGACAGACAGACAGACAGACAGGGTCGGGCAAGGAATGCCATGACCGTCCCCCCGGACCGCCCCGGACCCACCACTTTGGGCAAGTCCGTCTGTCTCATCCTTTTTCACGAAACCAATCAGTGCGGAGGAGGCACCGTTAGCGGCCAGGAGCGGTTTAATCGCCTGATCGAAACTTCGCCATGCCACGCCCGCCGGCACATCACCTCTACCAGGCGTCCAGGACCAGAGGAGGCTGGAGTGCGGCGGTTCTCGGAAGACGGTACGTCCGTTGGTTTTGGTGTACTCAGTTGCGGCCCACGCGGTTAGTTGAATTCTGTTAGTAGCCCAGAAAAATAGAGATTGGAGTAGGTTGGGGGTGGGACAAGGCGTTAGTTACCATCCAGAATGAACGCCCGTTTTTCTCAGATTCTCTCTAAAAATTGCGGGAGGCTCGGCGCCTGCGAGACTCGGTATAGGCCACCCTGCAGGGCACGGGTGCACTGCACGCAAGATGTTGCCTACCTACCAGGCGCTATGAGAGCTTGCACCAGCTTAAGAATGACGGAGACGTCCTTCCTGTCCCTAATTTTGTCTAATGTTCCTCCTCAGCTACCACCAGACCAGGGCTCTGAGTTCCGGCGAACCGCGCTCGAGAACGAGAGAGAGAGAGAGATGGGGGAGGCGCTGCAACCTGATTGGTGATCACGCTCTGACATCATGCGGCCCGGCGCGGTGCATTCTCAGCACGATCTCGCCGACCCGCGCCGTTGGTGCTTCAGCTGCCGACACGACGACACCTCCACCCTGGCGGCGCCAGGGCTGAGCTACGCGCCTCCACGCGCCGCTACAGACACGCCGCTGTGACGGGCGGGCCCGGGGCGCCACCGGGGCGCCTGCCTCCTCGCCACCTGATCAGCCCAGATTGGCCGTGGCCTCGCATAAGGATCAATGAAAGCAGCGGCAAGCATCTGGCAGGAAGCCGGGTAGTCGTGCAGCCTGCTGCTCATGACCCCCAGTGACTTTGCGACGAGAGTCGGACAGCAGTATGTCGCGCAAGGCAGACTTAACTTGACTCGACTGACGGGGTGATCCGGGAGTAATCCGCTGGTAATCCGGGGTTGGTGATCTATAGCTGTACTCCGTTGCACACGTGATCTCTGGATAGTCTGTGTGCTCCCCTCGAGCAAGGCCTACGCCGCCTGCGCTTGCACTTGACTTTACACGACTCTGCCGCCGGCCCGGAAGGACAAACAAACACGGCCGACGCGACGACAATGGGTGTCATTAGTCTTTTCGCCAGATGCACAAGTGTGGCGCATGTGTGACGCCGCGCGCGTGAACCCGTGGCGGCGGCGGCGGCGCCGAGGGCAGAGAGACGTTCTCCTTCCTTACAGTGTGCTTGATAGGGCCCGCCGCACATCCTGATGCGGAGGTGCGAGGCCGACGAGTGTTTAGCGCCATTAGGGCCTCGGCACGGGCGGGCGGGGTGTCATTCCCCGGCGTTTTAACCCATTCCTTTCGGATACCGCCGCATGCTGCCGCCGCTGGTCCGCGGTCCGCTCTCCCTCCGCGGTCCGCTCTCCCTCCGCGGTCCGTTCCGTTGGACGGCGCGCGCTCCGCGGGACGTTATCGCCCGCCCCCCGCGGGCCGCGCGTCTGTCAGCCGCGCCCGACCAGGGAGATGTCAAGGCGGAACGGTGTTCGGCGCCGAGCCGGGAGGGCAGCGGGGAGAGCAGAGCGGGAGGCCGCGACGGGTGGGTGGCCCGTAGTTTTCTTCTCTCTCACACTCGCACACACACACTCACTGACGCAGCGGGGTAAGAATTCTTAAGGAGTGGCTCTGCGATAAGCCCCGACCGGCGGCGTCCGTCAACCGTCTCGGAAAAACAGCTGTTTGGCCCGGCCAGCTGCATATCGGGTGTGCCGTGCCCCGCTTTTAGCACCCAAGGCACCTGCGCACCTGGGCGGCACATGTGAACCAGGAATGCCGAACTTTTGTCCCTTTCTCGAGAGGCTTTCAAAAAGGAAACAAGGTTCATCTGCATAATACGCTAATCCCTGCAATTTTGCAGAGAAGGCCACCAACACGGTATATTACGACGTTGCCTTGAAATTCGGGGAGTAAGTCGTAAAATATGGAGCGGGCAAGAAGTGGACTGGCAGGGCTCTTTGGGGTGGGATCCGATGACCTGGACCCAATCCGCGGCGGGGGTTCCGCTGTCAACGTTCCTTTCACCAAGTTTGAGGCTCGTATCTCGGGAGCTAGAGACTTGCTCATCGTCGACGAGGTTTTTGATAGGGGAGCAAAGACTTGGCGAGGGAATTCTACGAGGACCGCGCAAGGACAGGAATTCTACGAGGACCGCGCAAGGACAAAACACTCAACACCTCCGGCCGGGCGAAGCGCCCACGGCCCCGCGCAGGATACTCACATGCGGCCGCCGTTCATGGAGTAGTTGAGCAGCTCGTTGGGGGAGGTGGGTACGCGCCGGATGGTGAGCTTGCGCCCGTCCGTCGAGCCCATGCCGATGGACGCGAGGGAGCGCACCGAGGCCGCGTCCGAGAGCAGCTGCCGGTCGTGGACTGCGTGGACGCCGAGTCCCAAGTCGCCCCCGCCGGGCAGCTGCATGGAGGCCCAGGAGGTGGGCGACAGACCATCGTCACGGAGGCACCTCATTGAGCGAAAGCGGTGCCCGGAACCTGGCGTGAACGCGTCCGCGGCGCCGGCAGGGGGTGGTGCCTTTAGGCCGCCGATTGGCGAAGGCGACGATCCCGCTGGAGGCAGTGCTCCCGAGGAGGCGACCGCCGCTGGCGCCTTACCGGGCGGAGTTCTTACACCGTCACTGCTCGGGCACCGGCTGAGCGCCAGCAGGCCGCCAGGAGCGACCGCGGCTCCCGGGGTCGAGGCCGCGAGCGGCGCCCGATGCTTGCCGGGGCTGGGCGTTTCGTGGGGTGGCGCCGGCCCGCGGCCAGGTGCCGGGCTAGCTGGAGGGCGCCGGAGACTGGGCGCGGGGGACGGCGGCTCCACGGTAACGAGGGTTGGCGCGACCGCGGGGGCGGCAGGCGCAACCGCGGCCGGCGCGATCACTATCTTCTTTCCCGCCACGATCAGAGTCTTCTTGTCCCCACTGTCCTCGTTGATCTGTCCGCTCGATTTGAACACAAGCCCGGCCAGGCCCTTCTGGATGACGTTGGCGGTGTTCTTGGCCTGGACGCGCGGGGACGCGGGAAGACTGCGAACCGTCGGCGGCGGCGCCGTCCCAGACGGCGGCGTCGACGCGGCGTCGCTGGACACCGCGAGGCCGTCCATGGCGAAGGGGCCCCGGTGTTTGGGCCGCCCCGGTGGGCCGCAGGCCCCGAGGGCCTAACTCACGCGCGAGCACCGCTGGCTGCTCAGGCTCCGCGCTGGCACCGCGCTCCGCACCTCGCCGCGATCCTCTCCGCGAGACACTGACACAAGTCGCTCCTCTTTAGCTTCGCACAGCCGAGCCGCTACAGAGCCAGGCCTCGCCACGACCGCAGCCAGTCGCGACAGCTCAGGCTCAGGCCGCCCAGCTCGGGCCTTCCGCGGGACCTGCTGCCTGCGCCCCGCC